CCTGAATGACCTTAATCCTAAGCTTCTGGAAATTCCCCGGCCTCCTTTGAGTTTCCTATATCCGAAAATTCGACATTTTCAAAATTGAATTCATTTCCACCTTTGTTTATATGCACTAACACAAGGGATGCTACTGATCGGCAGTAGCTATTCAGTGCTTCTAGTTTTTCACTGATACGAATTCATAATGGAAACTCTTTTGAAGCTTACTGTATTCACGGTAACCACCAAATGGAAAAACCATAGATTATGGATTAGAATTACTATGATGTCAGTAGAAGATAAATGAAGTTGAAAGGCAGTCTGGATCTTAGCAGAATCTTAACCAATACCCTACGAGTTACTGAATTGAGAGTGTACTGACTGGACAATAAAGCTAACATATTGATTCGATTAGAACATCTTTCCATTCTTGCACAGTTTGCTTCAGTTATCGTAAGAATACATCGTAAGTGATTCAAGACCATACGATTCTTATTTTTCAAAACAGCTTTGAAAGAGACTACACATCAGCTGATGAACTAGTGATCGACTAATTCAATAGAATATCAGCAGCGTGGGAGAACAACAAAGTAACAACGCTAACAGCAGTTTATCACAAACTCAAATTCTGTAGGTTTTACAGGTGTAGTGAATTGCAAATACCTTTGTCTTAGCATAGCTAAGGGTTGACAAAAGATCTTTTCTCAAGACTGCTACTTCAAAACTCTACTTCAAACACGTTTCTATATAAATAGAGAGGTAAACGTTTATGTTTCACTACCCATCAGATTGAAGTTTTGAGCTTTTAGGCTTGTTAGATACAGAGTAGTCTAGTTGATAACACTTTGGCGTTTGAAGCAATGGTTCGTCATTTCGAAGCACAATGGGAGAAACATTACTCTCCGGGAAGCAGATACATCTAGATATAGGATCCTATGTATAATGATAGCACTTCTCGAATTCTAACATTATCAATCATTAGTTGCTCAAACTTTTTATCGCTTAGGAAGATAAGTTTTGGTGCTGAATTATGCAAAATTTCTAATAATAACTTATTTACAACCCTCTAATTCCTGTTGTACTCAACAGTTGATGGAGTTAAGGTGATACAAGTTAACAGTAGGGTAAGTGCCTTTCTTCGCATTAATAGTGTTGGCATCTTAATTATATATATAAGGTAGCATTCATCACGGACTGAAATCAGCTAGAAAAACATTGGAAGGCCGTCTCGTCCTAGTATGGGACTCCTCAGTAGTGTGCACCCATGACCTTGCCAGGGATCGAACCCAGAGCTCTCAGCTTCTGTGACCAACATTTTTCCAATGAATCAGTGGGTCTGAATTCAACACTCCACATTAGTGACCCCTGGTAGGGTCATGAGTGTTCACTTCCTGGAAGTCCCATACAAGGACGAAATAGCTTTCCAGTGTTTCTCCTTTTGATGTCGGTCCACCATGAATACCAACCTGAAATTAAAAAAACAGTTACCGTGAAAGTTCTCAGTCTAACTGATTTTGGGGAATCCTCAAACAGAGAGTTGATTACACTTACTAAATTCGGCATCATTTGCAGAAAATAATTGAAGAATGTGAGTGGATATGTCAGAAGACTAATGGTTCAATTTGTGGTGGTGGTGAGTATTAGCAGTCAATCGGCAGGGAGTTCAGGAACAAGATTTCGTGCTTAGTGGCAGTCACCAAAATGGCATATCTGCAACTATGAAGAAACTAGGGTTCTTCCAATCATTCCAACTTGCATCACTCAGTCCTGAGGTCAGTGACTTTTCCATTAGGCTACCTAAGCTATTACTGACGTCTGTAGGACTAAGTCAAGTTAAGCGGAACAGTAATGGCCTAAGTAGTGCAAGTTTCAGTCACTGAGGGGACACTAGTATTATCATGGTTGCAAACATATATTGTTGATGAGTATTAACGAGGACAATACCTAGGTCCAGGGCTTCCTTCAAGTTGATTCCTAGGATTTAGCACAAAAATACAATGCATTGTACTGTTGCATCACTTAGCTTAGTCGCTTTATTGTTAAGTTGATGAATAAACTTCAATCAGCCTTGCTCACTGGAAACCAGATATATACATCAGTCATCCATACGTGATCGATTTTTTTCGTTCAGTCTATGTTGACGATAGAATAGCCGAAACAGTAGTCAGTAAGTGAAATATAACGAAATTAGAAGAGTAGCTTTCAAATATCAGGTGCTTCATCAACACACTAATTAGGCTTTGGTTACACTTTAAGTGTGTCTTGTAGAAGGATTCATAATGCGTGTTTCGTCGCAGCTGATACTTTTAAATTGGATTTCCTAGGGTATCGGTGATCTCATGCGATTTAAAATTTTCATTAATATTTTCAAATAATTAGGCTTTATTCGTCTTGGTGATCCGCACTGGAATCCAGGGTCTGCATTTCGTCCTATTCGGGACTCGTTAGCTGGACATATCTACATTCCAGTGAGTGATGTTGTTCCCATTGAAACTCGAACCCATTACGCGTCGCTTCGAACACCAGATCGCTACTCACCAGGCTAACAAGTCACGACAGCCACTTCTTGTGCAATGGGCATCATTTTTTATTGTTTGATGCTTGTAATTCCCCGTTTCTATACAGAATTAAACTGCTCGACCTTCAGCTTTATTAGTCAGACTATTGGTGACTATTGTAATTCAAGCTTCTGTATAATAAGTTATCCAGATGAATGTTTACTGATTATATACTAGTAGCTATTGACAGGATTACTCCTGTTGTATGGTAGGCGTGGGTGACAGAAACTTACCAGCCAAATTCTCAGTGGATACCAGGAAAAGCTTGAGATTTTTGTTGTCATCTCTCTGTATTTCAACCTTCTCCTGCTAATTTCTGAAGTCAAGAGCTTGCTGTAAACAAACAGTAAAGACGCGAAGTCTCAATTCGACAATACTGTATACCACCGAATTGATTGGGTAGTAATGAAAAGTTCACTAGGCCCTGTGTTGGTATGTATCTTGATGTCAAAGTGGCATTCATCACAGAGTGACAGCAATCTGACAATTATTGAAAAACTGGAAGCGCTTGAGAGCTGTTTCGTCATATCACGGGATCACTCACCAGTGCATGTCCATGACCATGTCAGGGATTGAACACAGGACTAAATTTTCTTACTCCACTCAATTTGAGATATAGCACAACTATCATCCAATGTCATCGCTAAGTATTTGTCCTCATACTCGCCTTGTTTCGGTTCACCAGTCAAGAATTCTCAACAGAACTTCGAGAAATCTCATCTAGAAGCATAATACTAGTGAGGAATGGACAGTTATTTCATCTTGATAGTTAACCCTAAAATCATTAAGCTTAAGCATGTAAATCTAGAAGATCTGAAGACATTAATTTAAAGAAAACCACACTAAGCAAAAAGTCGATTTTCATTGAACTCATCTTCAATAGAGGCAGTGACGCAGGGATACTCAATGAAAAGTTGAACACTATGCTGAACATAATCTATCTTGTAACTACATTGATCTCTCTCCACAGAACAACATGCTACTTGTTGTAAACGAATGTTGACAGATTCCATTCCCCTGTTTCTTTTAATCGTCTGTACAATTTTACATTCATCTGTAGTAGCAGTTACACCTTAGATTCCTTGAACACGTAACAAAAAGCCTACATCTTGGGGTAAAAAAAAGTACCTTCAGTAGTGCAGTCGCTCGGCAACTTGTTGACATAAGATATGAATTAGTTACCTTGAAATCCTTCAAGTTAATCAAAAAACAGTGCAGTTTAAACCTTTTGAAGCTGTCGGAGGCTGCATGTTCGAAAAGAAGCAGAGGTCAGTTTTCCTTTGTTTCAGTCACTTAATTTTTCAATCTCCTTAACTGGTCACATCATCGTTTGACTGAACTTTTGTTTGTCTAGACTAGATGTTGATGATCCTTCTATCTAATTTAACTCACTATATTATCACTAGTTTGTCTGTCAATTATGATCAAGTAATCTACTTGTTATATTGATCTTGTTGACTGCCAGAGGAATCCAGGACGTGCAACTCGTCTTGTTTGGGACTCATTGGCTGGATGTATATGCCTCCTAGTCAGTGATGTTGTTTTCATTCAGACTCAAACCCAGGACCGATTACTTCAAAGGATAGAACGTTATCCACTAGGCCACAAAGTCATGACCGCCACTCCTTGTGTAACGTGTATGGTTTTTTTGATGTTGCTTCTATTATCCGGTCACTGAATGGACAGAACTGGTAGGTCTCTGTTGATATATGAGCTCCTGCGCGGATGCCTCGATATCGCCTGATTATTGATTATGTTGCAATTTACTTGGTCGTGCTTAGCAGTGAAAGCCAGAACACACGTTTCCTCGTATTCGGACTCATCTGTTTTTAACTAAGAAAGCCAGTGAATAACACTGTTGCATTTGAATCGATTGGCACTGTGTCCAAGTCTGAATGGAAATAATATCACTCACTGTAGACGTCATATTTGCAAACAGACATACACTAAAGACTAAGAATCTATTACGCACTTTCCTCTTGTGGTAACCAATAAAGCAGTAAGATAGAGTTTGAAGAATTCTATCATCATACTACTTATAAAATCATTTGTTTACTGTTTTGAAAGACATTGCCTCTTAAGTAAGTAATGATATGCTTCAATACGGATTCTTCAAAGTTCTGACGTGAAACCATGATATATGTGGCCAGTCAATTCGGGTGTGAAGACAAACACTCACCGATGATATTGAATGATGGTTCAGCTACACCGCAAACTGAGTGAATTAAGCAAATGGAGACCACTGGATTTCAAGTGAGTGAGTGTTTTCTAAGGTAACTGCCACGTGACCTTGTGGACTTGTGTTCGATCCTTGAAGTCATCGAGGGCATGCAGTACTTAGGAGTCCAGTGGTACGACGAAACATAAGTCTAGCGCTGCCAGCTTCCCAATGGTTCGCCAACTGAGGTCAGTCTAGAAAGAATACTATCCTCAAAGATATTACGGCAAAAGAAGTCATTATCAGGTAGTAGTAGTAGTAGTAGTAGTAGTAGTAGTAGTGTGAGTAGTAGTAGCAGTAGTAATAGTATTAGTAGTAGTGTGAGTAGTAGTAGTGTGAGTAGTAGTAGCAGTAGTAATAGTATTAGTAGTAGTGTGAGTAGTAGTAGTGTGAGTAGTAGTAGTGTGAGTAGTAGTAGTAGTAGTAGTAGTAGTAGTAGTAGTAGTAGTAGTAGTAGCAGTAGTAGTAGTAGTAGTAGTAGTAGTAGTAGTAGTAGTAGTAGTAGTAGTAGTAGTAGTAGTAGTAGTAGTAGTAGTAGTAGTAGTAGTAGTAGTAGTAGTAGTAGTAGTAGTAGTAGTATTCATATCGAAGTAATACGAATATGAATAATAAATTCCTCTTGAAAAGTCATCCTGTATATTATACCGTATCACTACAAGCTGTATTAAATAAACAATTTAATATGGAATTATACTCTAGCAAACAATTTTTCCTCTTTCATTACTTACTACACGAACATGCAAAAAGTTGCTGAGTCAGTCTCGATTTTCGTCTTCGATATGCTCATGTTGCAAGCAAACATTTCGATACGTTATCACTACCTGAATCATTGCTGTAAACATCTGAGTCATGAAACTAAGATTGTAAAGTTTTACAGTATTCTTTGACTACACGATTAATTTTGTACTGGAAAAAACACCAAACTTTCGAAGTTAATGTGTTACATCTGAGTGAGTTAATGCATTGGTGATTACTGTTACCGACTTTGAGCTCTCTAAATAAACATGAATTCAGCAATTTACACTTAAAGTGGGCTTTATATGGTTTTTTTTGAGTTATAGATTTCTATTGAATGAAACTACTTATTTGTCCAATAAAAAGTATGTCATAGTCATAACAATAACAAGAACAAAAAAACTTTATCATTGACATTCTAAGATCTAGTTCCGTTGATTACACAAAGGCAATATACACTTGCTTTACAAGTTTTTAAGTTCCAATCAAGAGTGAACAAGGCGCGGACTTTACTTTTTAAACAAAAATAACACACAACACTATAACCCTAGATAAATCCAGGTGAACAGCATAGATAAACAATTGATATTTTGGATTTCACACCAGATAGCTAGCTCAATAAATCACTCACTCTTTCTCTCATAGGCATATATATATATATATATATATATATATATATATATATATATATATATATATATATATATATATATATATATATATATAATTTGACTATCTGACATAACCGTAGTTTGGCAGACTAGTTATTTATACTGGGTGGCGACTGAAGGTGAGATGAAGATTTGAACCGCTACCGGATTCAAACCAGAGACCACCGGATTTCACGCCCGATTCTCTAACAACTGACCTAGGAGATCCGACTACTAACCGGGTTTTTATTTCACTGCGATCACCAAGGCTTTTCTGCCCAACTACCATGTGAATTCATGACGCCTTGCTCAAACTTGATCATACCCACACCATCTACCTAGTCACGACTTCTCATCCCAATCCAAATGTAAGTGAATTAGAGGGTAGGAGGGGTGGAGGGGGGAGCATCATACTGATTGTCGTTTTTGACTGTCTGAGATAGTCGTGGTTTGGCATACTAGTATTGATACTGAGTAATGATTACGTTTGGTGACCGAAATAAAATAAAAATCTGGTCAGCAGTCGGACATTGTGGCTCAGTTGGTGAAGCATCGGGCTGGGAACTCGGTGGTCGCTGGTTCGAATCCGACTGCAGTCCGGATTCTCATCTCATTCCCAATCATCACCCAGTATATATATATATATATATATATATATATATATATATATATATATATATGGAAGTTTTAATCTGAGACTGACTTCATTTAGAGAAACAATGTAAACCTAAGAACACTGAAAAACTGCTTCCTCCTGCTGATATTTAGGATGAATAGAGCTAGCCAACAGTGGAATCTCAGAAGCGCGATTGGTTCTACTTGGGACTTGTCAGCTGGTGCACCTGCATCTAACTGGGTGATATCGTTCCCATGGGAACTTAAACCCAACAGCCAGCACTTCGAATACCAGGGAGTCATTCACTAGGCTACTGAATTAAGATAACCGCTCCCTGTACAATGGGCATAGCAGTGGTACTAGTGTTTGTAGTAGCGGTGATGGTGTTAGTGAGTGATGCATTTCGCAGTATATAAGTATTATCTATACACCACATCTATTCACCTTACAATCTTTATTGAGGATGATTTAAGTGACTGACTTCCATCAACTCCACTCTTTCTGTATTGTGCCTTTTTTTATTACACCAAAATACACTTTAAATCGATTTTATCAGGACCGGTAAAAAAGCGTTTTATTCGTAAGTTGAGTGGAAATCAGTAGGAAATGTAGCCAGTAGTGAGAAGTTTATTAGGTGTAATAGCCAGTCCGGGTACTTTTACGTGTTGCAAACCGTGGTGCTACAAATATTAGCGGTCAAGTTCACTTCACAGCAGCATATTCCATTCGACTAAATGACTATGAAACATGATCATTAAATATAGAGGATTAGAGATTACTTAGTAAATTTGACCACCGTTACTTTGGTAGCGATTTCCAGATGTCCTGGGAACAACACATGAATAAAGTAGAAATTAGCAGTAGACTCTAAAGCGAAGGAAACAATGCAACTGATAATGTCTGAAACTTCCGCCTACCTTAAATTGTGATGTTGGATGTAGTAGGATTAGGGTGAGAAGAAGACAGTGTAACTTATTCCGAGATATCTAACTAATCCATGAAGTCTATGACTTCTGTTATTAGTCATCTATGGAAACGTACGTTTATAGATTGGTGTCTGCGAAACAACCAAGTCGATGACTAAAGGCTGTGGGTAATATGACTCAGAGGTAGAACATTCATGACTTATCAGTATCCAAATCATAATGGTATACGCCTTCACCTTCTTTTTAGCTTTGTCTTCTTATGACTCTGGTGGATACCATTTTAATTCCTTCATCTTGTCTCCGGCCACCTTCTTTCTTAATGTGGAGATATGAGGTGTACTAACTAGGCTATTATGCAGTTATGTCGGGTCATACACTTACATCACACATCTATCTATAAGAATGTGTAACTAATACACAACCATGAAAAATATAAAATTAGTCACTATTGCCGTTTCTCGCTACTGATTATTGATGAGTGACTTTAAAGGCCACCCTAGCAACTGTTGAATACACCAATCAGGCTTCGTTAATTTGCCTGAGAAAGTACGATTCCCATAAAATAAAGGAATTCACTTGGCTATCTCATCAGTTGCTGGGTGTCCTTTAAAGTCACCCATTGTTGATAGCTTTGTCTCTAGCCAGCAGGAAATTCTTTCCTAGGATATCTGTAAAAATAGCCTGAATAAGTTTGATGATGGTGGTGCTTTTATACTGGGTGAAGATCTGAAAGAGAAAGGAATAAACAAATAATTTCGGCTGACGACTATGGAAAGACAGAACTTGCATGTGTGGTTGCTAATTATAGCAGTTTACAGCAACTAAACAGTGGACATGTTAGAAGTCAAAACTTGATATGGAATTAGTCCAATTTCAAGTGTGCTAAACATCCATAAGGTTTGTAGATGATGACGTAAACTAGATGAACTCGAAATCAACAGATTAGGTTATCTGCAGCATGGTACATAAGTTCTCTACTGTATTAGTGTTCATTCTGATGCTGCATACTTTTGTCAAAACCTAAGCCTGGTTGAAAATCTGATGCTTTCTTAAATTATTATTAGTATTATTATGATTAATGCCTTGGGTTCCTAGTGGAACATAGGGATTCAGTTACACGTCGTCACTTCAGTGTCTTTTCTCTTCTCTTCGCAACCTGGCTCCAACACTGACCACAAACTTTCATTTCTTACTCACACTATCTCCTCCATATCACCCTCACCTCGGACACCTAATTCATCATTTCCCATTTGCCTTCCACTCGACTGCCTGGCCTGGTGCGTGATGTCTCCAAACCGTCTTTTTCTCAGTGTATACCCAATCCAATCCAGCCCAATCCTTCTCCACTTTCTCCTCCGTCTGCATATTTGTTAGCTGATAGCTTCTTGGTTGGTTGGTTCTTTGCCTGCCAGCCAACCAGTCAGTCAGTCAGCCAGCCAACCGGACAGACAGACAGACTTCCATCTTGCTTCTTTTTTCTTGTCATCCAATCTTCAGTATCAAGTGAGCATCGGCCGCAGCTATTGATGTGATGCATGTCTGTAGTTTGTTGAAAATGCTTCCGGTGACACGCCAATTCTCTCAATCATCACATAGAAAGAAGCACTGACTGACTGACTTCACTGACATTAGTGTTGAAAATGAGGATGATCATCACGCTTGAAGCTGTGTGCAGTGCAGTGCAGTGCAGTGCAGTGCAGTGCAGTGCAGTGCAGTGCAGTGCAGTGCAGTGCAGTGCAGTGCAGTGCAGTGCAGTGCAGTGCAGTGCAGTGAGGTGGAGTGGAGTGCGGTACGGTACGGTGCTTTGCGGTGCGGTGCAGTAGATCTGCACACTAATTATTTCAGACTAGTGAAGGAAGGCCTGTCTTACTGTAATTCCGATGTTGGCTTTGGTATCCTAATCTGTGCCACCACCGCCATCTGTAGTTGAAATGATGCTGTCTAGGTAGGTAGGTAGGTAGGTAGGTAGTTGTGGGGTGGTAGGTAGGTGAGAGAGACAACTTCCTTCAGATTTCTCCCATTCATCGTGACTGGTGCCTCTTGTTGTTGTTGTTGTTGTCGGTTGGGTATCTTCATCATCTCTATCTTCTCTACGTTCACCTGAAGGAAGTCCTGTCTTCCTTCGCTGTTCTATCTCATCTGTCAACTTGTTGGTTTTCGCCTGTAGATCTTCGAGTTTGGCTAGCTTTCTTCAATTAGCAAGGAATATCTGAGACCTGGAGGTCACTTAAGGATCTAAATTTCCAAATCAATATCATTCGACGCTGCGGGCAAATAGGCTACTCACTAACTTGAAACCCACCTTTTTATTATTATTAGCCTGTAGTCGTCTAATATCATCAACAGTGAAATGGAATGTCGATTCCCTTAGCTTAGTAGTCATAATGCAAATATGAATAAGTAAATCCCAACCAACCTCCAGAGTGAATTACTCTCTAGTGCTTGCTCATTAGTGATTTGCTTTGAGATGAGGTTCTTAAAGTTCAAATGAGTTGTGACCGGTAGGGTCAATCAAGTCAAACTTGAAGACAGTTATTCAACGACGGTATCAGATGAAGGTCGCACTATTTCGTGAACTGACAGAAGTAGAAAATGTAAATCATTTGACTCTCACCCAGTGACTCCCAGGTCTGATCCTTGGTACAGCCATAGGTGAG